CCGCGCCCGCCCCGTCGGCGGCTGTGGCCCGCGGGCTTTACAGGTGTTCCCGCTTGGCAGAAGGGCGGCCCGGGTATAGGAACGAGCACGTCCCGGTGAGCCTCGGCTTTAGGGCGCCGCTTAAATATTAAAGGAGTGAAGGGCGGGCCGGGGGAGGTGGCCGGGGCTTCGGGGGAACGGCTTTGCCGCTCAGGAAAGGGCCGGCTCCTCCAGAAAGCCTGGCTTCAGGCGTAGCCCAGGCAGAGCCCCGCTTTGCTGTTGGTCACTAAAGCTGCACAGGCTTGTAACTCCGGGGGAAAGCAGGCATGGTGCCTTACAGTGCTATCGCTTCTACAGGTTTCTGTGATTTTATGGTGGGGAAGTAACAGGCTCGTTCCTTTTTCGTGTTGTAGCTACAGGAGCAGGTGCTGATATCTGATGGTTGTGTGCATCGTCAGACCAAGGGTTGGTACTAGAGCCCAGTGTGGTTCAGCAACCTGCTGTCTTATGGTTTAAAATCGGAGTGAAACCTCACAGGAAGTATTTTCTTCTGAGGGACATGTTGGATGAAAACAGGAGGTAGAAGCCTTTGGTTGAACATCAGGGTAGAGCAACAGAACTGGGAAGAGCCATCAGATCTACACCTCCCTCTCCTGCTCTTCCTGCAGTCCGTTTGCAAGTTTATCATGTTGCGCTCTCAGCGCTAAAATCAGGGCGCTCGTTTCTCACGTAATTTGTGGTAGAAAATTGCACCAGAAACGTGCAGTGTTGGTGGTGGCCTATTGTATGAGACGTTGCAGTGCGTCACCTTGTGTGGGGCAGTCCTCTGCCCACCAGGAAAGAAAAGGCTGGCTTTTTGCTATGGGTAACATTATTCCTGAATGCATTCAGCAGTTGGGTGTATGAGTCGGGTTCCTGTCTGTTCTGCACTCAGTGATGGGCTCTCCCAAAATGTGACAGTGCAACTGCTGGTAAGGGGTGAGGAGCATCATTCTTAAGTACTGGTAGGGAGGTAGTGAAACCCACAGTGGGAAAGGGCAGCTGACTGTAAATGTGTGTCAGGGTACATTTTCCAGCCAACAACGTGACTTTTTAGTTGGATGTCTCATGCTCATGGGAATTGTGGGTGGTTTCCAACCCTTTCTCACTACTTCACCATTGCAGAAAAGAGGACATTTGGTTTTTAAACTGTTGTCTCGCACACAGTCAAAACCCTCAACCAGAAATGTAAGATTCTTGAGTGCTGGTAAAGGTAATGGTAACACTGCCAAAAAGAATTTTTTCTAAGGGTGTTTTGAAAAATCACACCCAAGAATGCTTTAAATGTATTAATATTTATGTCCTATTATATTTAATAGGACATAAAGTTTTACTTCATGTGCTGGAGACTAATAAAGTAAGATCTGCTGGTTGCTGCTCCCAGACAAGCAGATCATTTAAATAAGTGGGTTCACTGACTAAAATAAACAATTACTTATGCAAATTTACTGGTGCACCAAAGTCTTAAACTGTTTGTCTGAACAGAGGCATTATTTACAAAGCTTTCTAGTAGGAAAAAGGAAAATTACGGTTATCTCAAACATCATGGATAGCTGCTTGATACAATCCTAAAGGATTAACAGTTTACGGCCTGTACCTGTCCTTCAACGAGAGGAAAAAGAAAATGCATAATTTCCAACAGTTTTTTCTCCCCTTTTTGTTTCCCCTTACCAAAATGCACAGATCTTGGAGTTTAAACAAGCCCCAGAAATTACTGAAGGTGGAATCCTCATTATCTCCAGTAAGAGAAATGTTCCTGTTTTGGAAAAGTTTTGATTTTTTGAAATGTCAGTGATAGTGATGGTCATTAACATCTATTAGTCTTGCCTTACAATAGTGATTGTGAGTTGTTACTGGGATTATGCACTGATAATCACTTGTGTGGACAGCTAAACAGGTTATTGCACTCAGAAAATCAACTGTCTCATTACAGAAGTGGTCAAAAAAATGGTTTATAGACCTTAGAACTGTTTTTCTTCTGATTAGTAATGGCATATGCTTTAATCTTAGCCTGTTTTTAAAAGCTTTTTGGGCAAATTAAATAACGAAAATGTAACTGCCAAAAGCATGCTGGGAGGCATGCTTATTGCATGAGTATCTACATTTTTTAAAACCTTTTTTTTTTTAAATATTTAAGTGGAATATTTCTGCTAGCCCATGTTTGAATTCTGCACAAAGGTAAATGGCACAGCACATACTGGGCCAAGACTGAGGTAGAAACTAATTCTTAGCTAAAGAAGAAATACTTGTCATCAACTGTAGTTTGACTTCAACTAAAATACTCTAACTGGAAAGGAAAATTGTAGTTCAGTCTTAAACATGTGCTCTTTTTCTGAGCTGTTCACTTCCTATAGTAGCCTTAATTGTGGAGACTTAGAGAGTTAATATGTGCACCCATCTGAATGAGAAGATTTTGCATTGGGAATACCACTGCTGAGCATTTTCACAGGCCTGTTGGAAAGTTCATTGATCTGCTTTATTTTCATAGCTTTTAACTTATTAAATCTATTTTAGAAACTTGACACTTGTGTAGAAACTTACAACAGTAATGTCACTATCTGTGAATAACTTCTTGCGAGTAAGAGACAGATGAAGATGTTTAATTTCTGGTGTATATACAGACAGATATAGGACTAATTATTTAAAAAAAAAAAAAAAGGTTAAAAACTTCATCTCCAGTGATGTTTTTTCCTTTACAGCAAGCAGTGCATGCATATGGGGGGGTGTGGATTTTCCTGCAGGAGCCTGGTGCCAGCCTGTCTGTGTCCCCGTGTGTGCTCTAAACCGTGCCCAGATTTACCTGCCAGGTCACCTCTGCCTGCTCACCAGCGCTGGGCTCTGGAAGAGAGGGAAGGAAGGCAGTGGCTGCCTGCTTTTGTCTTCCAGTGTTACACTGGGCTTCAGGTGAAACAAACTCTGCCTGGAAGGTTTTGTTCTCAAGAAAATGAGGGGCTACTGATTTGCCCCTCTTTGCTTGTCATTGACAGCTCTGCAGAAGCAGTAGTGATACTCTGGGCATCAGCTGCTAGGGATTCTCCATGGGATCGGTGTGGAGAAGACATAAAAGCAAAACAGTAGTTTTGGCTGCTTCATGTAGGCCTGTAGAGGTCTGCACTTATCTCAGGACTAATGCTGATGGACAAAGTTGGATCTCAGGCAGAAGAGTTCTTGGAAACTGAATGAAATGTGGAATCTCCTGGCTTGTTTAAAGCAGTTCATGTATTTCTACTGTATGTAATAGCAGGATGTTACTAAAATGCAGATTAATAATAGAGACAATAATTTTTCTGACTAATACTAGAAAAAAGCTCTTGCTGTATTATATAGCTGTAACTGTATAAACTGAAGTTAGGAACTACTTTTTTAGTGGTATTTAAAACTATTCTTTTCTTGTAGTAGGACAACAGAGTAATCCCTTTTTGTTTTTTCAGTGATACCAAGAAGCGAGTTAAGAAACCCAAGCAGAACTCTCTGGCAGCTTATAAATGTGCTGTTGATAGACTACTTTAATCAAAGTTCTTCAAGCCAAAGCTTTTTAAAGGATGTTCTCTGTTTTGTTATTCAGCTTATTAATAAAAAATTGAATATTGACTTGGACAAGTCCCACATAGGACTCCACTTGATAGATGTCATTTATTTGACACTGAACTCTTTGAGTGGGATTTTTTTCTACTTGTTTGTACACTCAGCAGAGAAGTTTTTTTAGTTATTTAGATCATATTATTGTTATCTGGGCTTAAGTTCTCTTAGGGGCAGGTTTATTTTCTTTCTGTTTTGTTTCATCCCAGGTGAAAGTGATGCCATTCAGTTTTCAGTGCTGATAAAAAGAGCTAGAAGTATACATGAACACATATCTCACACTTCAGCAGACCTTGTGAAAAATGTGGAATTGAAAGTTATTCAACCTTTTGAAACGCAAAAAAATATTTTAAAATGGAAATTCAGAGTTCAAAATATTCCTTGGGTAGCCATTGTAGTCACAAGTTTAGGTGTGAGGGCTGATGAGAAGTTTGCCTTGCCACTTGCTGCAGGAGAGAAGGGAAGTGTGTGGAGGCCTGATAGTAATGTAATTTCCCAGCTTGGGTTCTTTCCCTTTCAGAGATACTGTTTACTTTATAGGATTGCAGTGTTTTCAAAACATGATACTTTGAAGTGCCCTTCTGAGGCTTAGCAGGGGGAATTTACAGTTCCCTCGTGCTAAATTGTTGTTCTTATTTTTACTGTCAGAAAACTGAAACCAAAGGCTGGTGGTTATTTTCCAAGAACAAGTCTGAATTTTAGAATTCGATTTTAAATTTTGTTTTAAAGAACTGTCAACCTCATTATTGCCCACATACTTTAATAAAATTTAAAATATGATCATTGGCCTTATATCAGTCTGAATTTTATGACCAAGTCTGATTCCTACTAATGGTTTTAATTTCTGAACTCCTTACTACAAGGATCGGTAGTGCTGTATCAACTTTATGGGATGAAGGAAACTATCAAGAAGTGGCCAAAATGAGAGAACATTTAAATACAGCAGTATTTTTTTTTTTTTTTTTGGTACAGTAAAATAGTAGAAAAGCCAGCAGCAGATACATGGTGACTGTACAGGAGTTAACTCATGTTCTTTCCTCAAAACATATTGTGGCAGGAAGGTGAATGTAAGCTTCTGCATAGATTAAACACTGTCCAACATAGTTTAAAGTTTTGGTTCCTACAAGTACAGCTGAAATTCTATCATTACTAGGTCCATAGGCATGTGAGCTACTAGCTACACGCACTCTCTCTAAAGTTTCATCAAGGGGAGGTAAATGTTCAGGGAGGTAACTGACTGTGTCAATGCTGTCCAGTTTTCCTCTCCACCCTGAACCTGAATGCATTTAAAATTAAGTGCAGTTTTAAGTAGTAAGCAATAGCATTTTCACTTGTTCTGAGCAGGGTGTGTGCTCTCCACGCTTGCCTGCCTCATCTGCTTCCAACTGGCAATTGCACAAAACCACAAATCAGGAATCTTGGCTGTCTAATCAAGAAGCCTATGTCTGGCAGTGTGGGCTCAGCTTACCTGAGTGTAGTTTATTGACCAACTTTAACAGCAAGTGTAAACTGGGTCACTATAGTTATTTCTCCCTGTAAGAAAATAGTACAGAATTTTACCGGGTTCTTTGTCAATTGAGGATTTTCTTTACAGCAGTCTTTATTAACGTTCATATCAGAGATATCTATTTGCTGAAGATCCTAGAGACTTCTTCCAACTCAAGCATGTTATTTGTTTGCAGATTCTCTCTCTTCTGGCTGTTATTTTTGAAGAAATTGTGGAGGATTGTATCAAGTGTGGTGGACTTTACTTCTTTGAATTCATAAGCTGCAGTGCCTTTCTTTTGAGCCTCCTGATCCTCTGTGTGTATTGCACTGATGTGTATGAAACATTTGGGGAAGATAAAGTACAGAGAATGGTAAGGAAAATTTTTTTTAAAAACAAACCCTTTTTTGTAAGTGCTTAAAGATTACTGTGGAGTAAAAAGGCTATGCAGAGTGAATCTCCTTTTCGTCTCTATTTAAAGGGTAGATTGAAGTAGCTTGTAGTTAAAAAATGGGTCAACTTTGAGAGTCCCTTTTATATTGACAACTTCTGCAAAACTGTCATGTTGGTTACCTGCAGGATTTTAGCACTTATGTGTAAGTCTTTCACTCAGACTAATACTACTGCGTAGTCATGGCATATATGTCCGTATATGGAACACAGTTTACTACCAGCATGAAACTTGTAACTTGCCTATTTACCCTACCTGTTCTCCTACTGGATCTAGCCTACCCCCTTCTTGGTAATAATCATACTCATTACAGTTTATGCTTTTATATTTCAGAATATCCAGCAGTGACACAAAGTTGCTTTGTAAAGTCAGTAAGAATATCATAGTGTCTTATGAGTGTCCCTTCCTATTTGTCTTCAGAGCAAACAGTAGGGTTTTTATGTGAAGGTTCAGATAAAGGAGTGTAGTAAGAGGCTTGAATGAGCATGTTTACTTACAGGTTTCTGCTCTCCTAGATGTTTTATCTAGGAAATAATGCTAGCATGGTTGACCTGAGCTTGAATTTGATTGTGAAATGAATTAAATACTTAAAGAAGACAGAAAGAGGAGTGTGTAATGCAGACTCTTAAATAATTGATAATGCTGAACATTGTTTGGAATATAGCTGTAAAATATATTTTGTGAAGCTGCCACTCGCATCAGTTTCAAAGCATAAATTCACTGGCAGCTTAGCTCAGCTGCTGTTATGATACTTGTTCTTTCTCAGGTAGTGTATCTACAGTTCTGTAACATTAATGGGTTTTGTATTTGCAGAATTTTTGGGCCATGCCAGTCATAGGTGTCTGTTTTCTGTTAGCATCAATAGTGCTTGTTGCAACCAGCTCTGGGTCTACTATTGAACGAGCGGCATGGGTAAGTCTTAAAATTGCATAATTTACTTTGTATTTATCTTGTACATTAATTTCTCTGCCCTCTAAATCTCACTCAATTTGCAAGGAAGAAACTGGGCAGGGAACAGAATTCAGTGCACTGTGATATTTCAGGAGGAATGAGCTATTTCAGGCCTTCCAGAAACTTACCATAGGAAACCCAAAGAACAGGAATTCCTCAGGGTTTTTGGAAAGCTCTACGTGCATTTGCAGCTTGCTTCTGGTTCCTCAGACTTCACTGCTTTGGCTTCATATTATTCTCTGTCATCTATCACTTTTACGATGTTGCCACCTCTCCCAGCTTCCCCAGTTCTCTGAAATACTCATCTCTGAAATGCCTCATTCTTCCTTTCCTAATGCCACCCCCTCACAAAGTCAGCAAGAAACCCACATCTTTTGCCAGGCGTTATAAAGCATGTGTGGAGAGCGCTAAGGTACAAAAACTGTAATCAGAGCAGCAGTTGCCTCAGTGACAGAAACGGTTAGAAGAGCAACAGGGCATTCAGCTCCCAGGAAACACTGAAGAGGCTCAGGGCAAGGCACTGAAGCTTTGGGATGCTGTGGATTGTCATAATTCCTCACTCATTTGGCGCTTCTTTTGAATAACCTTGGAATTGTGAATATGTGATTTTAAAAGATCAAATTCTGATTTTATTCTTGAATGAGGAAAAATGAGTTAGAAAAGAAAGCAAAACAATTCTGTTCCACAGGCGGCACGAGCTATTAGAGATAACGCACTTTGGTATAGTCATCATCTGTGATGTTGATATATTCAGACTTAATGGTCTGAGTATAAAGTCTTCCAGGTTTTTTCTTCTGGAGTTGGAAAAAAATGTCAACTATTGTGATTTAAGACTTGCTAGTGTCTAATTGCTTTGGGCCAAACCAGTTGTGTAAAATTCAGGTAAAAGTTAGAATAATGCATGTGTGTGTTTCCTTATTTGATAGAAGCTGCAACTTTCTCCTTATAACTATCTTGCCATGACTAATAATGAAATGTCATTAACAAAATACCATTTCACCCTCCCTTGCTGACCCAGTAAGGACTTGCTTAGGCTCTGCAGACCTTATCTCCGTTCACCTTCCATGTGTTAGTCTTCTTCACTTAGTCCCTTTAATAACAGCCATCTCTGGGGTAAGTATTCTGCTATACCACTAATCCCATGCTTCTTTAATAAATAATTTTTGCAATAAAAGGAATATGCTTCTGCTATTAAGGGCTGTTTAGAACATATTGTATGGTTCACACTTGATTAAGAGAATGAGAACTGTACAAATTTTTGCATTAAGTGTGTTAGAATTATGATTTCTGATCTGTTCCCAATTTAAGTGGAACCACAGATTTAAGGAGGACTGGAAACTTAATATCTAAGGGCTACTAACATATGTAAGTAGTCCAGCAAATCTCTCCAAACAATGTTAGAATATTGTTAATGTTTGTATGTTTTAAAATTGTATGTTCGTTTCACTTTCACAGGCATTTGGATTTCTTGCAAGTGGTGCATTTTTTGCTGAAATTATTACAGACCTTTTTCACAGTTGGAAACAAAACGTTGACAGATGCTCTGAAAATCCCGGCAACACTCAGAGTGCCACAGAAAATCAGCCACTGAATAAGCAAAGCTAACTTTCTGGAATAATTTCTCTTTTTTTTGAATGGAGCAAACTAAAATGAACTTTCAGTGCACTGTAGGTAACAACTTCTGTCTCTTCCTTCTAATCCATTTTGTATGCATTGCTCACCATAAATTTTTATCGATCCTTAGGTCAAGTAATGGCATCTTGAGCATCATGTTCTAAGGTAACTGGTCCTGCTTAGTAACTGGTCCTGCCACCTGTCCAGGTGCCATACACTAAAAAAAAGTGTGTCTAAATAGAATAACTTAAAGGACAACAGCATGCTTTGATTTTGACAAAGGTGACTAATAAAGGTTAACGTGTGATGCATAAATTCTGAACTATACCCTAAAGATAATTTCTGTATAAATGGACCAGATACTTCTGTTACAAGTTATTTATGAGTACAGCAGAGTTTGTTCTTGTACTTACTGGTCAAACTGTGAATGTAAAAGGGATACCTAGTTGGAGCCTTACAGAAATGCTTATATAAGGCTTGGCTTTGTTTTGGTTTTACTCTTCATATGTCTCAGCTCTATCAGTTTACTGGAATAGCAAGTGTAGGGGTTTTATGGGAAGGGTAATGTAATTGTATACTAAGGAGACAGTTTTGCACCCCATGATTGTCAAAGTTTGGACTCGTATGCCAGAATCTTCTTTCAGATTGTTTCAAATGCTATAAAAGTTGCAGGGAGAAACTTGAAAAGCTGCCTGTGAGAGAAAGAAGATGAAGAATAAATATTTTCACGAAGTAACCCCAGAAGTAGCAATTTGAGCCTCAATTGGAAAAACATGACAGCACGTTGGTTCTAGACTGGTGAATGTTACTTGTGAGGTTAATACCGTATGCAGCCTGTTTATGCATAGTTAATGGTAAGTTTTGCCAGAATGGTTATGGACCCCACCATTCTTTTTTTCTAAATATATAGCACTAGCTTAAGACTTCTTGCTGTTGACTAGCTCAATTGGTAAACAGGTAAATAAGCACTTGTATCCTTGATTTGTCTTAAAAGCAACAGGCTGTAGGACTGCAAGAAACACTGCTGATGCAACATGTATCAGACAAATGACAGACGTATCAGACCAGATGTTGATGGCTGTAAAAGAAATGAAGTGGTGAAAAGGCATTTTTCAGATATCTTGAGGTAAAAGCAAGACTGCTAATCTTCACTTAAAGGAAAGCCTTTAAAACTAGAGCAAAGTGCTGTAAGTCATGAGATGTTCCAAAATACCAAAGCAAATTAGAAAAAGCTGATTATGCAAAAACAATTCTTGTTTGAGTGTTCATGGCATTTGCCATGTCTTCCAGGCATTAACTCCATTTCATCAATACCCTAGTCTGACGAATTTATAGTTCTATAGCCTGTTGGGGCAGCATTGAGACTAAGCTATCCAGAAATTGGCTGAGCAAGCTGTATTTGGAAAAGGATGAGGAAGCTGTCGTAAGACAAAGGACTGTAAAAGAAGGTCACAGGTTTTTTCCAGCGCTGCCACTTACTGATGAATGTGAGTTTGTGATACTCTCTCTCAAAGGTCTGAGACTTAAGCCTAACACTACACGTTGCTTGGAGGATGTAAAATTTTGACAGGTGGTGTGAAGCATCAAAGAAAACCCAGCTGCAGCTTGGTTTCAGAGCCATGCATAAAAGACATACATTCCTTCCTAGAATTTTCAGCTTTGTGAAGAAGAAATGCCCTTTGGACTGGCTTTCTTTTTCCTTGTATTTATTAGTGTCCATTTGCACTAAAACCGGCTCTCGGTCTAGGCGTCCAGAGCTTGCTGTAGTTGTCTCTGAAAACTGGGTAAATCAGAGATGTTTTGTTTACAAGCAGTGCTACTTCTGATACAAAACTTGCCATAATGAGAAATAGCTCGGCTGTGATTTGCAGTGTCTTACTTCGGGGATTGTATCCATATCTATGATTAACATTCTAAGAGGTTTTTTATTTTTTCTATTGCCCAGGATTCTACTGAATTTGTTTTCACATCAAAATGTCTATAGTATCTAAATCTTGATCTATAATTAAAAGTTGTAAATATAGTGCAAGAGTAACAATGTGCTGCTGATATTTATTAAGCAATGCAGCACCGTGACAGGACTTTTAAGGTAATTTTTTCTCAGCTTGAAAATATGTGAATAGATTTCTGTGCTATGGTTGCTTTTTCTATAGCCTTTTCCCCACCTAAGTGCTTTGTTATTGGTGTCCATTTCTGAATTGGAGACACTGGTACCAAAAGGGATCTGTAAAGTCACCTCTCTGCCTTGACCTCCCTATCTATGATATCTACTGTTGATACTTCAGAGAAAAACTGACATACAGAGCAAGTTATTTTTATGAAAAGGTTTTACAAAGGAGTTGGTATCAGAAGTGGTGACTGACTGAGATCTGACTCCCATGCTCTGACCATTAGGCCTTTTGAAACAAACACTGCTAACCTTTGCAGGTTTGATGGATTCTCCTACTACATACATGCTGGCATCTCTGGCATGTTTTGGGTTGTTAGAGTGAGGAGATTTGGGCATCTTTAGCTATTTCAAGCAGGTAGTTTATACCCATTCTGTCACCAGCTGTCTGATCCACGTATAGATTTGAGGATCAGATTCTATCTCTGACTGAAAGGGATGCAAGCGTTGCCATCAGCTAGTGAAAATGACAAACAGTAGTCTGGGAAACTGGTTAGCTGTTTTCCTGTATGTCACAGGAGTTTACTAATAGGAATAGTCCTGCTGTTCTTTAAAACAATACATATTGCTCCACTCCTGATGCTGTTTAGTTGGCATTAATCTGTCACAGAGTAGTTAAATACTACCAGCAAGTCACATCATGGTTGTAGGTTTAAGGCAGTTGCTCAAGTGTTGCTTCCAAACCAGTTGTTGGCTAACCAAGTTTCTCTGCATGGAGGTACTGTTAATCCTAGGTTTATAAGTATGAAGTGTTCTTTTTGTTCTGTTTTAAAGTAGTTGAGAAGCAGATTTGCTAGTGTGGATGCTGTTCTCTGCTTCCGTGAGGTCTCTTCCTTAACTGCTTTATCAGCTTCCTAAGATAAAGGGGCAGGTGGGTGACCCTCCTAGCTCTTCTGCCCTCACCAGCTATGTGGGGGAGAGATATGCTTGCTGCAGTGTCTGAGCAGGCTGGTCTCCTGCAGTCTTGACATGACCCCTTTGATGCTTCTAGTGTCAGATCTAGGCTTTGAGTGTCTGTCTTTTAATTAGACTGGTCCCAGAGAATGGCACTGGAGCTGGATTAAATGTCTGGTTTTGCAGGAGCTCTGCGTGTGTGGCTGGATGTCTCTTACCCCTCCCGTGCTCTGTCAGCAAAGTGGTCTGCTTGTTTCCCAGTCTGCTTCTGATGAAATCAGCCTACTTAATTTAAACCAGCTATTTAAATTGCTTACATTAAGGTGGCTGATTTTGAGTGAAGTGGATTAGGGATTGTTCAGGGGCGTGGTGGGAGCCCTGGTAGGAGTGCTGCTACAAGCAGCTGTCTTAAATTTCTTCTTCTGTTTGCAAATAACCATCTCTGTACAATCTTAGCTGGTAGTAAAACCTGTGGAAAGAAGGAAATGGCCCAGTACTTATACCTGGGGACTGTCTTCTCCCTTCTTCACCACAGTGCTTGGCAGTGGTGTTGTGAGCCTGCTCAGACACATTAAAAGCTTTGTCTTTTCAGTTGAGCCTGTCAAAAAATATTTAAAGGCTCTGCACCCACTTTCAGGCTTTGTTTACAGTGCCTTGAGAATCAGTGCAGAGGATTCCCAAGGACATGTGAGGACTTGCTGTTAGGTGGCTGGACTCTGAGTTTCTCCCCTGAAAATCTGCACCTGTGTTGTGTAGATTGTGAATGCTTATTTTTGTGTTTGGTGTTTAGCCCATGTTGAAATCACAATGCTGCCAGTGCCCTTTGGGTTCTGGATATGGGAAGGAATTGTGCCTTACTGCTTGCACTCTGTGCTTAAAAATAGCAGGGAAGGCTTGTGGTCTGTTTCAACAGAGTTCCACATTTGCACCCTCTAACTGAAAAAGCAGTGAGCTCTCTCACACAGTTCTGAACTCTGCACAAGATGTTTTTGCATAATGGCCATCATGGTGATCCTCATTAAAATTTGTGCAATAAAAATACCAAGCTTTCTACACTGAAGGGAAATAAATACTTTGTGAAATTTTTGAAAGGTTATATAAAATTGTAACTAATCAAGATGCTGGTAGTGCCTTTAAGATGGAAATTCATCTTTGTTTTAATCTATTGCTGTAAACATAAGCAGTTCTCTAGATGCTACATTTTATGCTGTTCAGAACTATCTATCACTTCTAATACCTTTGAGAATTTAAGTGACTTGATTATTAAATCAGGATGATTATATAGATGATTTATATACCTATAAAATGAAAATTTTATACAGTTTTGTTGCCACTGTTGCCTTGAATTCACGTTTAAATAATTTTGATATGCTTAAATATTTTTGCCATTCTAAACCTGTGGTCTTTTTAAATGTATGATGCTTTTTCGGTCTTAAGAACTTTCTAAAATATTTTGTAATCATTTTTAAAATAAAATATTAGTAAATAACTTGTGTTTCTTGTTTCTGCTGCTATGATTTGGTGTTGCTGTGTAGTTTTCCCAGAGCCAACCATAGGAAATAACATCATTCTTTGTTCCTGGTTTGGAGGAAAGAGCTTGCATTGTATTTGCCTGTTACTGGGGAAGAGGGTCCAACTTGCAAAGCTGGATATTCTCACTGCAGGTTTCCAGGGGAAAGGTCCGATAAGGTCAGTATTGCCTCTTACCACAGGGTCCGACCAAACTATTTTGCAATAGCCTTTACACCTACCATTGTCTATAGGTTACTGTGACAAGCATCATTCAAGTGCTGCTTTTCTGTTTTCTTAATTAGTTGGAGCCAAAAAAAATGAAGTGGCAGACTTGTTAAAGGGAGAAGCACAAACTAGGAAAATGTATTAAGAGCAAATAATTTCTTCTGGTGTAGAAAAGTGCAGATGACAGAGTTATTTGGTTGAGGCGGAGCCGCTGGATCATTTTAAAATGTTTGATTGTCAGAGGTCGAGGGTGGGGAGAAGGAAATAAACCTGCATGCTTTCTGGCAGGGTAGCTTTTTTGTTTCATAATCCTATAGATTGCTTATTACCTGGTGGTCATCTTGTAAACAGGAGGAGAATAGCACTTTCTTCACTGTTGGCACTGAAACTGGAATGTCACGGTATATTTTTCTTTGTATTGTAACATTAAAGGTGAAATTGTCTCTGATGAAGTTTCCAGAGATGAGTATAACCATAAGGATTCATAAGGGTACATCAGCGGTGGATTTACACAGCATGAGAAAGTAACTCGAAAGTCCTAATAATAAAGATTTAATAATTTGGAGCATGACCACAGTTTAAGTCATACTATTGCTAGAATTGTGTAATCCAAGTTAGTGAACTGTAAATTATCAAAATAGCACAGCAGGGCAGAATATAGGCTGGTAGTCTGTAGCTTTCCCTTGTGTGTGCCCACACCCCTGGTCGCTACTGTCTGTGCATCTTCGTTTCAGGCTCATGGCATGTGTTTCTTTGCTTTTGGGTGGGCCCTCCTTGGAGCAAGGAGCATGACTGGACACCTGCTTTATCGCACAACCTCCTGCTGCTGCCGTGCAGGAACCAAGCACGGTTAACTGCTTGGCTGGGGTTTGGGGTTGGCATCTCTGGGCTCAGAATAAATAGCTCTTCCTTGCCGGCTGAAGGAAGCATAAGGCAGGCCAGCAGTGGTTTGTGCATTCTGGCCGTGCTCTCCGCACGGTGCAGTTGTCTGCACAGGGATCTGCGGCGAAGCTGCAGGAGAGAAGTTTGCCCACAAGAGGGCAAAGATGATCCTGTGATTGAAATTACTTGGTCTGGAGGGCTTCACCCTCTTCCCACCTGTATTTTCAGTGGAGTTGAAGCCCCCTTGCCCACTTCTTTTGTCCATGTAGCTATAAATTGAACGGTACATTTTAGTGATACTGTTTCCAATCATTTGCTTATTTCTCAGAATGTAGCCTGAAGGTCTTTTGATAATATAATCAGATCGATATTGTCTCAAGGAGATCCTTTACCTAAGCAGTTTGAAAGGGTTTTACTTTTGTTCTTTTTGTTTGTAACCTGTCGAGACGTTTTTAAAAATTCCTTTTTATTACAAAGTCAAGCTTCGGCTGCATGACTGCATCTGCACCTATAACACTACTGCAGCTTTGAAGATTCTTGCGGTCTGCGCTACGCTGTGGTTTTCAGTGAAGGTCTGTGGATCATGGGTGGGAGAACAAAGGAATGGGGAGTCCCTGAGCATTTCCTGGACTCTCAGGAAGCTAAATGAGAGAAGCCAATTATCCAAAAATGCAAATTATGCATGCTGGAAAAAAAAATAATCAGGGTTCACAAACAGAAATGTTGGCAAACATAGATGTAAAGCACGCCAGACAGGACTGCTTGCAATTCCAGTCCTCTCCAGGCACCCCAGTGAAACCTGCTTTGACCAGCCCACATATTCTAATCACTCAGTTTGTTTCTTGTGACCTATTATCACTTGGCTGAATTACTAGAACAGGACTGGGAAAATAAACCAGATGTGGCTGTTTTGAAGTTGGCAAGTCCTGAGGTGAGAGTCAGGGCTTCGCAAGGAGGCGACAGCATAAGCACATTCTTCTGTAGCATGACTCATATACCAGATGAGGACAGCAAATATCCAGTCAGGTATCTGTTGCTAGATGTGCTGCATGAAAGCATGTAGTATTCTGCAGTGCTAAGTTTGGGGGGGTACTTTAGAACTCTGTTTTAGTCCGTCCTTACTGAAAGTGTAATACTGTAAGACAAAGGCATGACAAGTTTTTTTATTACCATATGCCCTACCCTTGCTAAGAGGATGGTGGAATGTTGCTCAAAATAACGCAAGTCTGTCTACACTACAGCCCTCCTTTTAACTACTTCCTTTGCACCAGCTGTCACTTCCAAAAATACCAGTGGAGACACAATTCTGAAATCCCTGTTCATGTTGAGCTGTAGGTAAGAAAGGAACAATTACTTAATTGTTCTGTGGTCTCTGCACACCCCTAACCAAAGATGGGGAGCTGCTACCCTGGTATGAGCAACAAGGCATCCTCAGAAAGGAGGACAGATTCTCACCACTTCTATTTTTGTTGTTAACAGCCATTTTCACTCTCCTATGCCTGTCTGCTCTGTTTCAAAGGCTGCAGATCATTGGTTATTGATAGTCACATTGTTAAATCCCCGCTTCCCATTCTTGTATCTAAACTAAACCTCCCTATCAGTGCAATTCATAGCAACAGGAGCTTTTGCTAAAGCTCTGCCTGCTATTTTCCCAAAATAGCTGGGATAAAGTGGCTGTGGAGGTCTATCTGAGTAGGGTACAATACAGCTCTAGAAACAACTGTCTCGTTCATGTAAGCCTGTTTTCTGCCTCATAGTCCTTTTGCTCAGAAAGACTTGTTTTATGAATGAACAAATGTTGTCCTTGACTCGATGCAGTTTTTTTAATTGTAAATGCTTGTTTCTGGCAATTGTGCCTCTCATTTGAGGGTAACAAGGGCGTAATTATTCAGCTCTCATGCCTCACAAACTGCTGAGCATGAGGTATTAATGGAGTGCTTTGCTGCCACCATAGCTTAATAGCTACAGCTGCAGCATTGTGCTCTTGTTTGGCTGGGGTTCATGAAAAAGGGGGATGCAGATCATTAAGTATTATGTTAAGAGTGATTTACAGATGTAAAAGTAACAGTAGACTGTGCTAAATGGACAAAGGACTTCTGATTTAAAAGGAGCTATTATACCAGCAGAGCTGTGATTCGTACTCGTGCTACAAAGCCACCAGCACCAGTCCACCTCGTACAACCCCCAATAATCTCAATAAAAGTAAGTTGTGTTGGTATAATTGTGTGTGCTGGCAGGGCTGTACTAGGGGAAAGGGGGAAATCATACCCTACCATAACAGCTGGCTAGCAGATGTAATACAAGGAAGCTGCAAATGGATGCTTTTTGAAGGCTTTGAGGTGATATGTTAACTCCTAGCCTGGTCTCTTCCCATCCACCCAGCTATCGTATTAGTGATGGCATTTAAGAGGTGGGTGTTGCCCCAGCTCCACATAGGAAAGTAAAAGGGGCTATCTCAGGCCTACCCTGTGATGTTCCAGCTGTCAGGCCAAGCTCCCCTGGTAGCTGATGGAGGAAAATCAGGTCTAGAGGATGAATCAGAGGGGATGGCTAACTCCTGCACTGAGTCACTGCTGCTTTGAGTCACTCTTGCCCTGCTCTTCACTGAATACACCAGGGAGAATGGCTGGGTATTAAAACTAGTCTCATGCAAATAGCCTCCAAGACACTGTGCTTTTCCCTGGGAGAATAGTGTTTATTCTCTTTGGGCTGTAAAAACAGGTGCAGGATGAGTGCTGTCTCCAATTTCCTAGTCTGTCCTTGTATGCTTAAGGGTTAGGCCCTTCTAAGTCTACACTTGTGGGGTTTTTTCCCCCCCAGGGTTTCTAGAGTCTTGCTACAATCCCTCCTGTGCCAAGAGGGCTGCTTGTCTGCTGTTGCTCTTCCTACACAAGTGCAAACATGCAAGAAAAGAACAAGTGGTTCAGACATATTTAATTTAGCGATGACTCTACGTTAGTGGCTTGGGGATATTCACCCGTGTGGGGACAATGCCCCACTGCTCTGCTTGGCCTACCATGTCATCCACACACCAGCTCCGCTTCAAAAGCTGGCGTATACTTCTTGTCTTTCTGGTAAGCCCTTTCATCAGCCACAGAAACATGCAGGTGTTTCCTGCACCACCACACATTACTTTTTTCTACACATACAGAGCACTCAGTCTGTTCCTTTTCTTCTGCGCTATTCCCTCTTTTCCCCAGGTGCTTGGTTTGCCGCAAAGCTGCCTGTCTACCTGTGCACGGTCCCAGCTTGTGGGCACACCTCTCTGGAGTCACAGGTGAGAGGAGCTCTGGAAGTGATGGCTGTGGCAGCGCACTGGGCAGGGCTGAAATAATTTTAGGGTCAGTCAGAGTAACCTGGGGACTTTGTAGCAGTGAGTGTTGGCACCGGGACACCTGTGCCTTCCTGTGTTACTTCACACTGCTGGCTGAATTTCCTGTCAGTGAGAAGGGCAGGGCTGCTGCTTTTTTGCTAATGCTTTAGAGGTTGCGGTTTATTCCTTTCAAATGGTTGTTTTGTGCATTGCTGTTATTCTATATCTGTAAATATCTAAAGAGCAACATATGAAATCTACAACATCTTGGGCATTTTGAATTTAACTCAGTTCAAGCTAGGGTCTGCAAAGCTGCATTTTAACTGAAGTCCTTTTATCCATATCCTAATCCTCTCTTCTGCTTCAAAAGCTCTGGCCTTCATGGCTGGCTAGTGCTCTGAAGGACATACTCTGTTTGAACACAGGTCTTACCTTAGCACTTACCCAGTGACAAAACTGCTTCTGAAAATATTTATCTTATGCGCCTTTCTGTAAGGCTGTAGTTCAGCAATATGCAAAGAACAGGTGCTGCTGGAGGTCATACCATGCTCAGGAAGCCATACAAAAACATTAACCTGAGAAACAGCACTGTTCTGAGCTGCTTGCTCAGGAAATGTCACTGCTACTCTGTAGCGGCCCCTTGATTTTATTTTCATCTGCACTTTTTTTTCTAGCTCTGCCCTCCTTATTCACCACCACCACCCCAATATCATACTACCTTCTTCTCCAGCATGTAACAAGCAGCCACAATATCGTGCCTTTGGCTACTCAACTCTGGCTTCTTAAAGACAAGCTTTCACAGCACTAAGCCAGAACAATGCCAAGGATTTTGGTGTCTAAATTCTGCTTCCATGTAAAACTGAAAGCTTGTCTTGGCAGCCACCTCACCCTCGAGGCAGGAAACTCCTGTGTGTTGCAACTCTTCCCCCCCTCTAACTTTCAAGCTTCCTATCTGCATGAAGTGCTGCTTCTGGGCATGGCCACATGGCCAGACTGCTTCAATTTCTGTCAGAGCAGCTCAGAAGTCTGGCAGAGGGTAAAAAGCAGACAGATTTTTTTGCCAACTGCCCCAAGGCAGAGGGGCTAGTTCAGGCAGGTGATGGATGAGAGCTTGTTTGATACTCAATAAATTGGCAAGTCATTAACCCAGTAAACCAGTGCAGATATGAGATAATAGGAGGATAAAGCTACTTCATCAGTTGTTTATAAATGCAGATTGAGATAATAGGAGGATAAAGCTACTTCATCAGTTGTTTATAAATACGGGCTTTTAAAATTTTTTTGATGCACGCTCTTGCATGGTGGGAACCCACTGTATACTGGTCAGTCCCTAGTAATAAACAATGGTGCGTACTTACCATACTGGCTGTGAGAAACCAGAGTGCTGACCCAGGGGACTATCCAAGGTTGGTGGACTCTGAGTTCAGGGACAGGCAAAACAGCAACAACCTCTGGAGTAGTCAGCTGTGGGTAAGCAATGACCTCTAGAAGGGACAGGCCTAGGAAGGAGCAGCCAACAGCACTTACTGCTTTTCCTGTTTTCCAGCTGCAGTTGTGCTGGAAAAAAATAATCATCCTTCTCCAGGAGAGGAAGATAACAAGCACCAGTGCAGCTTTCCAACCTGCTTCCATGTGGTGGGGTTAAACAAGCCCTGGTACCAGGGACCAAAACCAAGAGCTGCCTGTTCCCAACGCAATGGCCTCGCAAGCATGCAGCCCTGTGCATCTGCAGAGGAGTGCCAGGTAAGCCAGGGGCACACTGCCTGCCCCTGCACTCTGCTCGGACAACTGAAACAGCCTAAAGAGGAGGATTGCTTAGGAATACCCTAGAGCTTTGTGGTGAGGGCTCTCCTGCCACCTGGGTGTAATTTCCTGCAGGCAGGAAGAACAGAACATGGGCCTCCTGCAGACCCTTGCTCTGGTACCCACTTCTCCCCACCTCACACAGTGTTTTGCTCCATGATGTCTCTTAAGATCAGTGGAGCCCTAAGCAATTTTAAGTTAAACAGGGCAGAACACGTAGCAACTTGATGCCATGTTCCACAGCCTCTGGGTCAGGTTTAGGACATCCTCCCACAGCTTTAGCAGAACATGAAAATCCCAGGCACAGGGTGTGAAGTGTACATACCAGGCAAGCAGAAAAGAGACTTTTCTATCACTCCAGGCAGGTCTGCTCTTTAAGTACTGACACAGCCAGAAACTGCTGATATCTGCCAACATTTCTATTAGTGCATAATGTGCTCACATTAGTTCCTCCTCTCATAAGCTTTCTATTAATGTTTGCACCTGATCTTTCTTGTCTCCTGCTCCTTTTTGTCCTAGTAAGCTCCCAGTCCTCTTCTCTGGAGCATCACTCAACACCCCTGTCCCCTCTTCACTAAAAGTTATCATTATCCTAGCATCCTGCTATCCCCTCTATACCCCACATAGTGATGTGTTCCCAAAGACTTTTAAGAGCAAAGAAACCATTCCTTCATAGTTCACACAATGCAAAACACAACCATTTCAGAGCAACAGAAAAAGTGTGCAAGCTGACACATAACCTGCAGTGTCTGCATCCAGCACTGTGGTCCTCAAGCTTTTCAAAGCCACCCTTCCTCTTTTCTTAAAAAGTTTCGCTTCCCCTTCTCATCTTCCCAGTTTCTACCTGACAAAAGCACTATTCACTCTCTAATTTATCTCAAACTCACAGAGCTCAAACATCGGGGTTGGTTTTTTCTGCACTATGAAACAGTTTGTACCACCTATTTTCTTCACCCAAGATTTACATTTTCATTTTCAGTGAAACTGAACCTCAAACTCTACCTGTGTTGTTTCAAAGGATATACTACACTCATCTTAGAGCTGAAGAGGATGGACAGCTTTTAGGTGGGATAGTCAGAGACCAGCACATCCAAACACAATGGCTGGGGAAGTTTTTTTCTGTGGCTCCCACCTCTTGTCCTCCAGGTACAGGATGTATTCTGACACTCCCCAGAGAGAAAGTCACTGCTCTTGTAGAGAAAGGAAAAAAATGAGCAAGACAACAATCTGATTCTCAAAGCCATTACATCATCCAAATAGCAAACACAGTTTATTTCTAAAACACCTGGAATCCCATATTTGACAAACTTGTAGAAAGATGGAGCTTTCAGAACCAGGTTGACACTGAAGGAAACTTAAAACACTTTTGCTGGCAGAGATACAGTAGTGAGGTGCCAAAGTCCCTGCCAGACAGAGCTGGTGATACCAGCAAATTCTGTGCTTTTCTTAGTAGATGTTTCACAAGGAGGATTTCGGGATAGTGAGAAAGATTTGGCAGCAGAGATATCAGTCTTCCAGCCTGAAAGTATCCTGCATTAAGAGCATCTGGTGGATCTATGGACCCAGCCCTGTCATAACAGCAAAAGCTGCAGGCATACCTTAGACCTGTCAATAGGCACAAAAACCAAAAGGGAACTTGTAATTTACTTCTCTTGATCCAGTATAAACAAGTGCACTTGCAGCAAAACATATTATTTGAGCACAGATCACAGTTCAGAAATTCTTTGGTTGTCAGACTGCATGAAATTCCCTCTATTTTTTTCCCCACATGGTGACAAGTGACGGAGTGGGAAGCTGAAAAAAAGATGCTAGTGTAGTGCCAGGAGAAAGGGCCTGATTCCAGCAGAGTAGAAACAGCCTTTTTCCAGAGAAAGCTCAGGCTCCAGCCCCAGTCCTTAGCAGGTGCTTCTCCCCCTGCCACTGCAGCGCACTCACACTGCGTGCAACAGAACACTGGTTTCCCACAGGATTGCCAAGAGTCATTAAAGCTTGTAGGAAGGTGCCTACTATCTGTCTGAGGTGGTATCTTAGGAGGTGAAGGAGAAATAGAGCACACCTCTTTCCAGGGGAATAGAAGAGGTTGTATCCTTAAATATCTACTGTATCAGTCCAAATTAAAGTCAGTGCTGGTTTCCAAAAAACATAAGTCAGTCTTAGCAGGAGAACTGGTGATCAAGTCCCCTGTTGTAAAAAACCACATACATATATATATATATGTGTGTGTGAACCTTCTTCTGCAGGTACTTTTCACTCAAAGTGCCCAGAATCAAGTCCCTTGTTGTGTATGTTCTTTGGACTGGTATTGTTCTGGCGGGGCAAGCAAGCCTGAACCATCACTGCTCACACTGGATTTCTATCTGAGAAGGATGTCTGTTCTCTTGAGGCATGCTTAATTCAGGTCACTAAAAAGAAAAAAAGTGACCTGGAGGAAAGAGGGGCCTAAGAAAGCTGGTTGATATTCAGGGATCACAGAGTGATGCATCCCAACAAAGATTAAGTCAGGTAAGGACACCAGAAGGCCTGCATGGATGAACAAGGAGCTCCTGGATAAGCTCAAACACAAAAAAGGAAGCCTACAGAGGGTGGAAGCAAAGACAGAAAGCCTGTGAGGAATACAGAGAAATTCTCTAAGCAGCCAGAGATCAGGTTAGGAAGGCTGAAGCCCTGATAAAATTAAATCTGGCCAGGGACATCAAGGGCAACAAAAAAAACTTTTACAGTTACATCAGTGATAAAAGGAAGACTAGGGAAAATGTTGGCCCTCTCTGGAAGGAAAAAGGAGACTTGGTCACCTGGAATATGGAAAAGGCTGAGATTTTTTTGCTGCAGTCTTCATGAGCAGGGGCTCCAGCCACACCACCCATGACACAGAAGGCAAAGGTGGGGACTGGGAGAAAGAACCACCCACTGTAGGAGAAAATCGGGTTTGAGACCATCTAAGGACCCTGAAGGTGCACAAGTCCATGGGACTGGATGAGATGGATGTGAGTCCTGAGGGAACTGGTGGTTGAAGTGGCCAAGCCATTATCCATCATATCTGAGAAGTCGTGGCAGACCAGTGAAGTTCCCACTGACTGGAAAAGGTGAAACATTACTCCAGTTTTTAAAAAGGGAAATAAAGAAGACCCAGGGAACTACAGGCCAGTCAGTCTCACCTCTGTGCCTGGTAAGACCATGGAGCACATCCTCCTGGAAACTATGCTAGGGCACATGGGAAGTAAGGTGACGACTCGTGAGAGCCAGCATGACTTCACTGAGGTCAAATTGTGCCTGACAAGTCTGGTTGCCTTCTACGATGGGGTTACAGCGCTGCTGGATAAGGGAAGAGCAACTGATACAATCTACCTGGACCTGTGCAAAGCTTTTCACGCTGTCCCACGCATCTTTGTCTCCAAACTGGAGAGGCATGGGAGTTGACAGATGGATGACTCGGTGGATAAGGAATTGGCTGGATGGTCACACTCAAAGAGTTGTGGTCAATGGCTCACTGTCCAGGTGGAGAGCAGTGACGAGTGTCGTTCCTCAGGGGTCGGTGTTGGGACCGGCACTGTTTAACATCTTTGTTGGGGACACGGACAGTGGGATTGAGGGCACCCTCAGCGAGTCTGTCGTCAACACCAAACTGTGTGGTGCAGTCAACATGCTGGAGGGAAGGGATGTGCCATGCAGAGGGACCTGGACAGGATTGAGAGGTGGGACCATGCAAACCTCATGAAGTTCAACAAGGCCAAGTGCAAGGTCCTGCACATGGGTTGGGGCAATCCCAAGCACAAATACAGGCTAGGAGATGAGTGGATTGAGAGCAGCCCTGGGGAGAAGAACTTGGAATATTAGTGGATGGAAAACTAATGTGTGCTCACAGCCCAGAAAGCCAACCATATCCTGAGGTGCATCGAGACGAGTGTGGCCAGAAGGTCAGGGGAGGGGATTCTCACCCTCTACTCTGCTCTTGAGACCCACTCCTGCAGTGTGTTCAGCCTTGGGATCCAGAACATAAGAAGGAAATAAACCTGCTCAAGCAGGTCCAGAGGAGGCCATGACGATGATCAGGGGCTGAAACACCTCCCTTATAAGGACAGGCTGAGAGTTGGGGTTGTTCAGCCTGGAGAAGGGAAGGTTCTGGGGAGACCTTATAGTGGCCTTCCAGTACTTAAACGAGGCTACAGGAAAGATGGGGAGGGGCTTTTCGTCAGGATGAGGGGTAATGGTTTTAAACTGAAAGAAGGTAGATTTAGATTAGATATAAGGAAGAAATTCTTTATCATGAAGGATGGTGAGACCCTGGCACAGGTTTCCCAGAGAAGCTGTGGCTGCCCCCTCCCTGGCAGTGTTCAAGGTCAGGTTGGACGGGGCTTTGAGCAACCTGGGCTAGTGGAAGGTGTCCCTGCCCATGGCAGGGGGCTGGAACTGGATGGTCTTTAAGGTCCCTTCCAACCCAAACCATTCTATGATTTCTAACCAAACAGAAAATATGTCATCTAAAGATACAGGGCAAAAAGCAGGCCAAAGTGGGACAGGGTGAAGAAATAAAAATTGGTCAATATGAAGTTAATAGCATTATAACTGCCTGTTACATAGTTTTATTTGAATAATCCTCTATAGTAATGTCAAAGCAGGTCATTTGGAGTGAATACTTCACTCACAAAGAGCAGACACTTGCACTTTCAAATTGTTTCCCCGCTCTATATTGCTGTAAATGGGGCACTTATGAAAAGGAACAGCAAGAAGAATCACAGAAACTGTGCACCATGAGGAAGGGGATTTCTACCTTTCCAAGTTATCTGCTCAGTTATTTTCATCTACTTACTCAAAATTTTTGACACTTTAACAATGGGCCAATTTCTCTTGTCAGAGAAAAAAAAAAATAAAGTGAAGACAGGTATATCAGGATGAGAGAAAAAAAAAATAAGGTGGCAACAAATGGCAGTGTATAATGACCTGCTATGAAGTACAAAAAGGATTTTCTGAGAGGACTATTAAATTACTTAGCACTATTGATGCAGAATTTTAGACAAATAGAAAAATGTACAGCAGGCCAGAAAAGGCTTTTTTCCTCCAGAGTGGACCTGGTAAACTGTATAAATGATACTTTTTGCAGAAACCAGCTGCACCATTGTGCAGTTGTCCTGACAGACGAGACCAACTTATAAGTACAAATTCTACTTCACAGCTAGACATGAAAGGGGAAGTACCAAGGAGGAAGGGCTTGCGCTTCCCTTTTTCCTGCAAAGAATTTCCAGCTACCAGAGATGGACTGCAAAAGGAAAGAAAGACAAAAGTGCCCAAGAAGGCACTGTCTCAGCCTCAAAGTTACATAGAACTTCATGACAATACCAAGTTTGGATAGAACTGTTCTGCCTGTCCAAGCTCTGGGCAGTGTCCAAAAGCATGGATCCCAGCAGAGGAAGGGTCAAACCCCATGTAAGACAAAGTGCATTGTGTCTTTCACAATGGGCTTTCTATAGTTAGATTCCAAAGAGAATAATTTATAGGAAATGCACAGAATTTTTTTACAGAACAGGTCTTATAAATACCCATTTTACAAATGACTTATTTGTGAAAAGGAAAAAAAAAATCCCACAAAACATTAAACACATATTCTTGGGTATGTATTTTCCTGTATTTGGCAAAGAGAAGTTTTAAAGACCAATCTTTCATTGTTAATAACCTGTAAAAATTCATGGAGAAAAAAACCTGATTTCATCATGTACTGTTGGATCTAGGAGGGAGTGTTTGCACAGATATATTCAAGTTGCATTTCAAAATTTTTGATGCTGGCTGAACTGATGTTAGAGAAAGTCCACAGTTCTGATAGAGGTAACAAAGACTTGGGTCATCTTATGCAAGCACAAATCAGTTTGTAACAGTTCCTTTGTGAAACAAATCATCCTTAGAAGTTAAGAATCAGGTAGGAATTTGCAGGATTTCCCTTCTGTAAACAGATGGAGGAAATCAGAAACAATTTTTCCATCCCTCTGAAAGGAGAACCAAATGACTTTCCAAATTAGTTTTAAATGCTCTTATTGCAAATAACTGGAAATAACCACAGCCCAGCTGGTGAGACAGAAGTTGTCTTTCTCTGTAAAGCTCATAAAAGGCAGGTTCTCCATTATATAACTTCTTGGGTAGGAGGAAGTGGGGGAAAAAAACTTTGGTTCACAACATTGTTTTGCATTGAAGTAGATCTTCAAAAGGTACTGGTTGCCCAGGCTAGTAACAAAATACCCATGCTCTCTCCTCAGTAGTGGATGCTCCTCTTTGGTATCCTAGTTTGTAAGGCAGATGTCTTGCAGAGGGAAGAAGTCATACAGATGCATCTTTGAAAAAGGAAGACAATGTCACTTGTGTGGTCACAAACAGATTTACCTACTTGCTTAAGAAACACATCGGAAACCTTCTTTTGATAGGGGGTAGGGGAGGGAGATGAGAAAACACTGATACATTCACTACTTGCTACAAGCAAGTTATTTTGCTCTTGTAGCTGTTAACAGCTGGCAGTAGCTGTGATATGTCCGTGTTGACAGAAAATACGGATTTATTGCTTTGTGAGTAATAAGGAACAGAAAGTTAATAAATCCTTCCAGGTAGACACAGCCCTGTGGCAGAAAATATAAATACTCATTTTGAGAAGCATTCTGGCAGTTGCTAAGCATGATACTTACTTGTTGACTGTGTGATGCACGAAACCTTGTAGGATGACCATATGCTTAAAACACAAAGGACTGTAGCTAGGAACCCGAAAGTCTGGATGAGAAAACAAACAAACCACAAATACTTACAGAGCATTAGATGACACATATTCCATGAATGTATGGACACACTTGTATATCCAGCTACATATTTTATGATGTTAACAGACACAAAAAAGTTTTTTATTTTTCTGCCAACATACTAAAAAATTGTTTCCATACTATAATAGCAGCTTATGTCTGGTCAAAGCAATGACTAAAAGATAGACTGAATGTCATATACAAGTGGGGAGAAAAAGCTGGACAGCAGCATAGAGTCTCACCTTCTAGACTTCTCCCTAGGGTTCTGCAACAAAGACTTTTTCTAACACCTCTGATTACGGCTTTTACTGCCCTATTCAAACAAGTCTTTCCCTGAAGTCTGCCAAATAAACAAGTCAAGTAAGTCTTCTAGTCCATTTGAATCATCTGGACTGTTTCTGAAAGTAATTCTTTATTCTGGAAGAGCTGTATTTCAGGTCCTGCTGCTATGAAAATACTGCTGCCCACATTCAGAAGTCATGCCTGTCTCTGTAATGCCAGCCAACAGAGGCAGAGAGTATCTTCCAATAAGTCAGCCCAGGACCCCAGTGGATTTTAGCTCAGGAGAAACTATCTTGAACAGGGCTATGTTCAGGAGCAGAAAGCATCAAAGGCTGAAGACTGGGGTGAAATCATTCAGGTAACTTCTATTTGCTAGAACAGCTATCTGTCAAAGCTGAATTTTGGGTTCCACTCTGACAGGGCAAATACCCACTTTAGTGGTGAGTCTGGAGTCTCACAACAAAATTTTTTTCTTGTCATTGTGTTACAGAACATTCACTGAAATGAGCTAGAAGGTCACACAAGCAAGGCAAATCTGTAAGAAAATAAAATTGCGAGTAATAGATTTCCAATGCCCTACTTAATATATATTGCAATTAAAAAAGTGTCAAGACTAATAAACACAGTCTTACCGCTCCAGCCACAAGTCCAGACAAATTATAACTCTTGGATGCTGCTACAATTGATGCAATGAGAAGCAGAATTGTACCGATTAAATAATGAAGAAACTCCTGTAAAGACAAGCACAACCTGCATCAGAAGGGGAAACTTATAAGGAAAGCATTTCAGTATGCCTCAGAATGAGAAAAAGTTGGCAGAAATTACTCAAACCCAGAGGACAGAACACTAGCCAACAGAAAACAGTTTAAAAAAAAACAAAACCAAAAACCAACCACAGCAGAAAAAATCCCACCACGTGAGTGGATTTTGTACCATACCTGACTGTCTGTTCAAAAAAGGAGAAAGGGCCAATCTTCAGGCCTACTAACATCACTGAAATAAGATCTACTTACTGGATGCAATCCTTTCAATTCAACATGGTACTGACGGTGAAACGTATCTTTATTGCATCAAGTATGCACCTTAGAGACAGTTCTGGAGGAAAGAAGAAGCCTTAAAGGCATATTCCTCTAGCCTATATGAAATGGCAGTAAATGGCAGTACATGGCATCAGTGGAAAACCAAATGCTCCTACTTCTGATAATCTTAGAAAGCAAGCAATGGATTTACTGCTGGATTTACTTACATCAGCCAAGACTGGAAACAGGAGGGAAGCCACAAAAAGCACAATTATGCAGACACTCATAACCAACACCCAGGCTCAGAGTGACTGCAGCTGTTTTGCAGTAAAACACAGTGCCATGGGTTTTTCTGAGCGAGCACTGGGGCACCACATTTAAGCTCTTTTCTAGCATGATGAGTATCGGTCCATTTTACCTTGTTATAATCAGGGGTTATCTGTGGATGTAGATTTTGCATCCTCACGAAGTTTAAGGCATCCAATACGGATGTTTGCGAACTGAACATGGGTTATTTCTTTTTCACAGTGCAGTGGGCAGGAGGGTATCTGCTTGTTTTATCTGCATTGCACTACTGGCATGAGCCAAGCAAATGCCATGTATAAGGGAGAGGACAGATTCTGTCTCAAACCAAAGGAAAGGGAATATAGTCCCCAAAGGAAATTGTTCAAGGAAATCCCAGAAGAGAAATAGTCTATCATATGAAACCACAGTTTTCCTCTGTTCAGGTGTTTTTTATAAACAGCTGAGAAGGATCTTGCCATAAAGTAGGCTCCGAGACTGCAACTTACTTTCCTCATTTGTAACTGTAATCTCAACCCTTGCTTTTGCCAGAGGAAATTATTTCCATAAGGAGGGTCCTCCGGCTAGTCTGTGATGCAGCAGTCTAACTAGGCAAGCCATTGCCTCCATAGAGGCACCAAATAAAACAGTGTACACAGGCCACTAACTCAGAGGAATCTGAGGGATGGGCAAAGGTGCAAATGAATCATCAAAGGCTAAATGAGGTGGAGAACCAGCCCCTGGCAGGACCAGGAGAGTGCCCCTCTGGAGAAATACTTCCCAGCTTTAAATGGTGTCAGTGCTGAACAACTTCTCGAGCCACTGCAACTTTACTGACTGCAAACCACACCCCTGACTGCCACGTAGAGATCTTGCCAGCAAACTCAGCCAAACACTAGCTACAGTTTCCCAAAGTACAGGTTTTCCTATTCTGTGCTAAAGTTACTTAAAATATGTGACTGAAAAGGAGGTTGGTTGTAAAAGAACAGCCATGTTCAAGCATCATATCCCATAAAGCTTTCTGAAGCTGAGCAGCAGCAAACTGCAGTCCTTAAACTCACTAGTGACTCTGGAACATTTAGGAACATAAAACAAAAGCAGCCTATGCAGAGGTCAAAATGGCACAGTCCTGTTAGACCAATGCATACATTAAATGCTGCTTTGTATAACTGTCATTTATTAGCTTATTTCGATCCCTGCATCTGTATTATCTCTAAAGAAGTACTTTCTAGAGACAGATAAAGGTGGTACACATTTGAAAAAACAAAAAGGGGCACAAGTCTAACCATGTATTTCAGCTAAAAAGAAAATTAAGTTTTTCTCTCTGGTTAGAAGTGGATGGATGGAAAAATGTTATCCTAAATCTGTAAACTATTACATAACTTCCATTAAACACTAACCACTTCCTGGACTTCAAAATCCCTCTATATCTCTCCAAGCTGGCTTTCCCCATCCCTTTGGTCCTTCCTCTGTGGAACTAAAATGTCACTATGCATAAGGGAGACATGTTCTAAGAGGTTATTAAAATCTATCATCCCACACTAGGATGCCGGACTCTTCTGTTAGCTGACCTGACCCAAAGCTACTGAGGAAGTTCAGGTCTTGCATTTTCTGTGCTGCTTGTTAGTCCTCTGCTAGGATACGAGAGATGGATGTGCAGCGGAAATGTGGGAATGAGGCAGGAACATCCTGCAGGATATCCCAGGAATGCCCAGGCTATGGCAATCAAGCTGAGGCTCTTATTTCTTGCTATTGTTTAAGTTACCTAAAACCATACCGAAATGAGACACCTAAGACTTAAATAGCACTCATAAACTTTATTTTGGGACAGGATGTAGTACATTAATTCTAATGCTATGATTTGGTACTCTAGCAATCCCTTAGCTGCTATAAATGACCCGAGCTAGGACCCATCTGCTGAAGGCTTTACAATCAGTAGCTTCTTTTAATTTGTCTCAGAATAACACTATTGCCTTCTCTGGAGTAAATCTGGATTTACTTCTGTATAAAGGAGGGCAGAATCATATCCAAATAAACTAAAAAACTTACAATTAACAGCATCTGCTGAACTGAGTACTAATAATAAAAGCAACACAAGGATTTGTATACAAAGCAGAAGAACCAATTATGTGAAAGATGACCTATCACTGTGTGATAGCACAAGAAAATGGACTAAGTAATGGAGACATCAACCCACAGGAGAGGCAAGGAACCCAGACCATCTAACAGACTTACTGCAAGCGGCCAGCTAACGCAAGTGAGCTTCCTGTAGATTCTGAAAATGTGGATAATGTAGAAGAACAAAATCATAACCAAGTCACACATGGTGACGATCTGAAAGTAGCTGTATGCACTGTAATCTGTCCACGGAGAGTTATTTACACTGATGAATCCAATCAGCAGCGAGATCTGAAAGACAAAAGGGACATTACTCCGAGGGCTGTGGAGATTATTTTAAACACAACAAAATGGCACTTAGAAACAGAGGACAAATACTAAATGTAAACTGGAGGATCTCAACAAGATGAAGAATAAAGTAATGAACATGGTAATAATGTTTTAAAATTTGCTGTTAAATGAGCATTGGGAGTGGGGTAAGAGCCAACTGCAAGAAGAAAAACAGAGTTTTGGCCTGAAGAATACAACCTGAAGAAGTCTCTATGTACAAGAGGTCTCAAACAGAGAACAGGCATTGGAGTGGCACCAGCAACTGAAGCATCTAAACCCCACAGACTTTCAGAAGGAAATAGCTGAAAGCTGTAAAAATTAAGGTGCCCATGAACACATGCATCTTTACTTCCATTTAGTGAGATTTCTCACATGCAAAATCGGAGAATCTGGCTGCAACTGAGCTAACAGTTTTACCCTTCCTTTTCTACCACATACAGAGCAGAAGTAGCAGCAGACTACAAGGTAGTAACATAGCAAATAATATAAACATTTGGAAGAATTGATTAATTCACCCCACCCCAATACAATAATTATAAAGCTTTAAATGTTTAGCATTGTCACATAAAACTATAAGGCATTATTGTACAACTTCTGGCAGTTGTAGGCTTGCAAAGGACAAAAGCGATTTTATTTTTTTAATCTGAAACTACTTGTTTATTTTACTAATCTTGCTGCTTCTACCAGCCTGACTAGTCTGGGTGACAAAAATAAATCCACCTAGGATATACCCAAATTTTTTCTTATTACAGACTTTGTCAATGCATGCTTTCAGCCACTGTAATTTTTAGTTCATCCAAAGTCAGCCAGAAGCAGTAATGATTCACATTTTGTTTCTCCAAGACATTAAAAAACTGAGGAAGCCAGAACTTCAAGACTGCACCATTCTTTCCTGCACACTCATCTTCCAAACTCCTAACCAACTGTATCCATTATCAGAATAATTTCCTTAAGATTAAAAGGGGAAAAAAACCCCAACACACAAACAACATTGCTTAGATTCTCCCTGCTGTAATTTTAACTGAGTTTCACCTGCTCACTAAGCAGACAGGCTAAACATGCATCCTCAAGGGCAACCAAAAGCTCTATACACACATAAGAACTTCACAAGAAGTTCAGGAGAACTGGTCACCTTGGCCAAACTCCATCCAAACAGCCACATCAATGTCATGACAGTGAACCACATCAAAAATGTGGCTTCAAAGAGAAAAGTCAATGCTCCAGGATCCTTTCCCACACAAGTGGCTAAGTTATTGTAGATCTAGTACAGGTCTATTATTTTTACTGTGGTAGTCCAAGCAGTTGATATTAACATTGTAAGTGATGCTCAATCCAAGCCAGTGACAGGCTTCTGCACTAGAGTAAGCCTACATCTCTTCCCACCTTTGAAATAGATACAGGGTAGGAAATACAGGACTTTGAGGAGCAGGGCTGGATCATGATCAGTGATTCATGTGCCTTTGAAAATGCATGGTATTGCCCAGTCCCTGTCTCCCCAAATATGTTCCTGCCCTCTGGTGTGGGAGTGTAACATCATAGCAGCATCCTGCATGTTTAGTGCTTCTGCTGTACCATGGCTTTTCTCTGGGTCTCACGGACTAGCCACTGAGGAATCCTAAATGCACACAGTCTTGCATCATCTGCATGGCAGAACTTTCTGAGGTGCTACATTTCTTAGAAGACAACAAAGCAATGCTCTCCACAATTCAGCGTTTAAAGACTTCTGGCCCAGTTCTCTAATTCTGAGGCAATTTTAATGAAGTTTTATGCAAACTGTGTCTACATATACCAGGTCTACATCTTCTCCTTCCCACCCTGATTTCACTCCCTGTCACGTACTGGCTCCTCCACTCATCTGTGCTGAGCCACCTCAGTGTACAAAGACAGCAGGAAAAAAAAGCAAATAGCTTTACTCTGACTCTGCTGTCACACAAAGCAGGATCAGGTGAGCAAGGGAGTGTGAGGGAGAAGCTTAGACTGCATTGGAAGTCAGGGTGGCAGCAGGCAGTGGCAGTAGCAGCCAGCCAATCATGCTGGCTCAGGCTGCCACAGACCATCCATCTTGGTTCCTGGAATCTTACCGTCAGTTAAGCAAAGAGTCGTCTGACTTTGCTGCTGAATAACTTGAACGATTAGAAGGAGATCAATAGGACATTTACCCTATAATCTAGGACAACACCCGAAGTGATGCAAGACACACAGCTATTATTTTCATGAGAAAATGAAAACTAAATTTAATGAAATTTCATTCTATAGGAAGACTCAACGAGAAGTCACAGTAAGTGCTGAATCTTGGCTTGGATAAAGGTGGGATGAGGACAACACTTCTCAGCCACCAAAGGCTAAAAGAGGTCTCCCTTACTCAGATTTCTTCACAATAATCAGCTCTCAGTTTCAGTTACTTTGTAGAAATCAAGAAGGAAGTGTTAATTCACAGAAATATTAAATCACATATTGGCTCATTTTATGCTTGAATCATTAACTTCAGCAACTTTTTTACTGTGTACAAAAGATAAGAAGGACTGCATCCTTAAAGTACAAGCACCATCCAAATAATAATAAGCAGTAGTAAAAAAACTTTAACCTAGACCAAGTTCTTTCAACTTCATGGAAACAAAAAAGGTTGGGGTTTTTTCAGTTAAAAGGTACGGAAAAAAAACTTAAAAATCAAGAAGCATAAAGGATGTGAGCCATCCAAGGACAAGGTCAGAAAATTCATCTGAGGTGTTATATTCCTCAGAAATAAGATACAAGGTACCAACTAGTCAGTGAAGAATCTGCTCAGCTCCTAAGAACGGTAGAAATGCGGATTTGAACAGATATACTTTCCATTTCAAGTGTACTTCGCAATTAAAACAATTCCAAAACCAATTAGTAAAGATACCCCTTTCTTTGATTTTACATGTGCCTCAGCAGACAGGTAGAAAGAAATCACTATGTTGCAAGAGGTAATTCTTTCAAAGATTTCCTTTCTTAGCATAAATTTCACAACCTGAGATTTAGATGCAATTTCTAAAGAGGGTTCTCTGACTGGAGGTACATAATGCTATTTCACAGGACAGTTACAAAGGGGATCATATCAACAACTTTATTTAAAGCTATGCCATGTTTGCCACACTGTATGTACTCAACGCACTACATGCATTTACCACAAATGTCGGAAATGGAGCCACATAATATTATTTGTACTTTAAAAGTGACAAATACCAAAGTTCCTTCATCAGATATTGGTTTATTGTGATATAGTGGGTGATGACTATACTTTTTTGCCCCGCTGGAATTCCTGTTTTCAGAGAACTTGAAATCAAGCAATAAAATGATTAATATGTAACTGTCTGTGATACAGTTCAACATGTATACTAGAAGTCAGTTTGTGGCACAGAGAAAGAGAGAAATGAACGGCAAAGCACTAAAATGATCAAATGTTATGAATGTTCTTTATGCATCTGTGCTCAGGGGAGCAGCTTAATACATACTGAAAATAAAACCTAGAGGCACAAAAAAATGAGGGCACTGCCATTTCCATTTCGATATAGTATTTCACAGATTGTGAAAGCAGCAGACATGTGACCCATAGCCAGCAAGCCAGTTAGACCAGAAGTACAGGTCAAATGATGGTCAGTCTCATTAGAAGATTTCAATGTGCTCCACAAAATATACCCAGGCTTCAGACCTGCATTAAAAAAGAGGTGAGGGACACATTCCAGTTCCTGAAAAGCAAAACAAAGAACATAGAACATATGCATCAATCAATCCCAAGGAGGGATTTTGGGATTTAAATGAAGTTCCATATTTACTCTCACAGAAGTTTATCGGCTTAAACTAATCCACTTCTTGACTTTCCATTGGACCAGTGAGTCATGAAATGTGCTTAGGAACACTGGTATGTGTCAGGAACTATCTCGCAGTGAAGCCAACATGAGCTAAAGGCAGTCAGCAATTGCCAGGAGGCACTCAACACCTTACCAGACAGAACAGACAACATAAAAGAAAGACGGTAAGAGTCTGCATTCTCTTCTCTATTTTGAGCTGGAGACGAGGCAACCACATCCTCTGCAATGTGCCTGTGGAAGACGTTGGCTCTTGAACAGCACTGACATAAGCTCCCAAGCCTAAACTCCATTCTGATTTGAAGTGAGCACAGCTGTACTGAAAATGAAACATAATTTGCTCTTTCCTGATACGGTCTTCCTTCAAAAGCCAACCCATGGTCCCTAAAATAGGGTGAACAAGCACAGAACTTTCAAGGCTGTTAATGGGAGATGGGACATGGGCTGGGAGATCTGATCCTCACAACAAAAAAGTGCCAGATGTTATGCCACTGCTGCCTTTAAGTGGTGAGGGCAAGGCTCAAGACCTTTTTTCCCCTGTGCTATGATGCCCCTGGCTCAAGGCACCCAGCATGGGCCAGGCCAACCAGCCACACCCAGGGCTATGGGGGCGAGAGTGGGGCTGCATCAGCACAATGTGTGTCCCTGTCATGTGGGAAATGTAAGGTGTGATCCAGTTATGTGTCTCATGCACACAGCAAGGATCACTGAATCAGAGAACAGTTGAGGTTGGAAGGGGCCTCTGGAGGTCGTCTTGCCCAACCCCCCTACTCAAGTGGGACATCTAGAGTTGGTTGCCCAGGACTGTGTCTGGCTAGGTTTTGAATATCACCAAGGATGGAGGGTCCACAACCTTTCTAGGCAGTGTTTGACCATCCTCATGGTGAAAAGAACATTTTCAGATGTTCACATTGACCTTCCTGTGCCCACTGCCTCTTATCCTGTCACCAGGCACTACTGAGAAGACTCCAGCTCCCTGTTCTTCACTCCCTCCCACCAGGTATTTATACACATGGGTGGACTCCCCAGAGCCTTCTCTTCTCCAGGCTGAACAGTCCCAGCCCTTGCAGCCTCTCCTCATGGGAAGGATGCCCCAGAGCCTTCATCATCTTCATGGACCTGTGCTGGGCT